ACAAGATCCATTTAACACACAGACAAAAAGAAACATCTTTGGCCCAGAAAGAGCAAAGAGCATGCACGCGCCACCCAGCAGGGTGGTTCAGCAGGGCTGACAGAGCACAGACGGTCCCCAGCAGGGCCTCAAGATCACTCCTGTGCCTCAATCCCTTCATCCAGCAAGTGCAGAGAGCAGAGGAGAAAAATCACGCAACGCGCTTCACCTGCTCTCCACCTGATGGGGCAGCACTGTTGGTGCCCATCGCAGGACTCTTTTTTAATTTTTTTCTTTTTGGGTCACACCCGGCAATGTACTGGGGTTACTCCTGGCTCATGCACTCAAGAACTACTCCTAGTGGTGCTCGGGGGACCATATGGGATGCTGGGAATCGAACCCGTGTCTGCCGCATGCAAGGCAAACGCCCTACCTGCTGTGCTATTATTCCAGCTCCTCATTGTGGAATCTTTGACACTGTCTAAGGCAGCGGCCAACAGTCGTGCACCCCAACGGCATGAGGACGAGGAGGGCAGATTGAGGGCGGGGTGCAGAGAGAGACCTCCCAGAGAGCCTGGCCCAGAGTGAGCATAACATCCCCAAAGATCCCGTAGGATGTCTCTGCCAAGTTTGGGGTGCAGCCTCACACTTCAGTCCAAAACATCCTGGTCGGGATGTCCAAAGAGTCCTCAGAAAAGGACCAGAAGCTCCACATTGCAGCAGAGCAGAGAGGAAGATTCAGTGGAAGGAAAGCATTAGGGGGCCTCTTTTGAACTGCTCAGGGGCCCAGGTGACTGTTCAGAGCGGGAACTGTGTCTGCCTGCGGACAGCTCAGCCGGCTCCTGCCCGGCCTGCCAAGCCCCGAGCACCCAAACAAAATATTCATTTTGAAAAATAGCGTATTACTACAGAGACACCTCTAACAACTCCCACCCGGTGAGGCTCAGGGGATACCCCTGGCTCTGCACTCAGGAATTATTCTGGTGGTGCTTCGGGGACCATATGGGATGCCGGGGATTGAACCTGGGTCAGCTGCGTGCAAGGCAAATGCCCTCCGAATGTATATAGCTCCAGCCCTTGGAATTCCTCTTTAAAAGCCCCTAGGGTCATAACTGGTGGTGTGTGGGTCCCTCCTGTCCTGAACACGGGACTCCCCAGGTGATGCGGGCTCGGGGGCCTTCGTGGTTCAGGGCAGGAGAGAAGGCGTGAATGCAGCATCCACGGGCGGATGTGGGGCCCTTGGCTCCGACCTGTCTCGGGTCTGTCTGCTGGGATGGCCTTGCCCCGCCCACGCAGGGCCAGGACCAACCCTGCGTGTGACCGAGACAGCTCCTATCCTCAGCTGGGGTGACCAAGACGCTTCCTCAACGCTTCTGCACTGCTGACTGGGAAAGGGAGCAGAGAAGCCGCTCCCAGACCTGCAATGGCTCAGATGGAAGGCGAAATCCTAGTCCAGTCACCACACAGGGCCGGGCAGGCCCCTGTCCTGTCACCAGAGAGGGGCAGGCAGGCCCGTATCCTATTACTACATAGGGGCATGCAGGCCTGTGTCCTGTCACCACACAAGGGCATGCAAGCCCCTCCCTGCTTCATGACTGGGGTGGGGAGAGACCATTAGGGGAGCCCAGGAAAGTTCTGGATTCCACAGGCTGAAGCCCAGAGACATGAGCAAACCCACAGGGAGCTGGGTGACAGCAGCCCAGAACCCAAGCGAGACCCAGGTTCTTTCTCTTAAGGTGCTGCTGAGACCAACGTGCCGAGGGGAAATGGTGCGCGGAAATCTGGTGATGCACCTGCATTCTAGAAAGGTCATGTCTTGAGACCAGCAGCAGCAGTACCACAAATCAACTCACACGCCCAAGGAATGTAGGGAAAAGCAGTCGCATCTCAAACACACCTGCACAAGATTCCAATGATAGAGGACGCAGAGGGCACAGACAGGCACCGGGAGCGTTGGGGCCGTGCATGGGTTCAGGCTGACACCCTGGCTTGGCTCTGGGGGTGATACCTGGCAGGGCTTAGGGGACCGTATGGAGTGCTTGCGAACGAACCTGGGTCTCCAAGGGACAAGGCAAGTGCCCTACCCACCTTACTATCTCTCTGGCCCTGGTATGCCGGTTTTAGAAGACATTATCAAGCTAATGTGTTTCCCCCTTGCATCTTCCCCTTCATTCCGGTATTTATTTTCCCTTTCCCTCCCTTTCTCGCTGAGGCTGAGGGTCGCACAATTTAGGTGGTGGTTACCCACTGGGGGGGTCCCCCACTCGGCCTGCCAGAACTCCAGCCATGCCCAATTTTCCCTTTTTACAGTGAAGAATATGCCATAGGAAAAACATCTGGTTGAAAACTCACGTAAATCAATGCTTTTGGGTCTACAGATTCTCTTAAGGGACTAAGCATGGAGAAACCTCACCGCACAGAAGATAGAGCCAGAGTTCTGGCCCAGGCACCCCTAAGAGCCAAGCTGGCACTTTGAAAGAGAAATTGTTCAGAAGTGCTCCCTGTCATAAAGATAGTAAACAAAACATATAAAATCATATTTGCAAACAAAAAAACAACCTTCCAGAAAAAGACAATATTTAAAAAAGAAAAACTCCGGGGGGCCAGATAGATAGTATAGTGGGAAGGTGCTTCCCTGGCATCAAAGAGTCAAATATGGACCCCTGAGGACCCACAAGAGTAAACCCTGAGCATCACCAGGTGAGGCCTCAAGCAAAAACTAAAGCAAAGCAAACAAATAAATATGTGCTGAAAATAACCAGTAGGAAACAGGCTGGGACGGGCGTGGGGGAGAAACAGAATTTCCCACACACCCTGCACCCAGCCCTGAGGTTACACTGCAGAACCTCAAGAGTTTGAATGAAAAAATGTAAGCAATTTTATTTCTAGAAAATGAGAATGTAAGAAAAGAGTCTTCAGGTCTTGCCAAGGCTCAATCAAGGGGAAAGGCGGGTCATGGAAACAAAATCACTCACAAAGGGCTAACTGGAAAAACGCAGTGACAGACTTGACTATTTCAGGCTGGAGCGGCCCTGCCTTCCACTCTCAAAGCTTCCTCCACAGCCACAGTGAATTCAGGGTGGGACGGGCACAAGGACAAACATCGAACAGCAGCAGAGAAACACCAGAAATAAACACATTTAAAGACAACTGATTTTTGAGAATTCAGTAAGGGCAACAACAATTTTAAGCAAATTTGTTGAAACAGGAGGGTCTCCATAAGCAAGAGGAGCAGCGGCCCGAGAGGCAGCACAGGGGAAGGCGCTGGTCTTGCACGCAGCCAATCTGGGTTCTAGCCCCAGCACCACATATGGTCCCCGAGCATGCGCAGGAGTGATCCTTGAGCACAGAACCAGGAGTAAACCTTGAGCACTGCTGGGTGTGGCCCAACTCCCATCTCTCCCCAAAAGGAAGAAACTGGACACTTCCAGGAATCACTAAAATGCCAGTGTGAGTGTCACCATCACAAACGAGGCAGAAACAAGTGTCAAGATCAAAGGGCAAACACTGAACTTACTCTGAAGGCGCCCTCCGACTCCATGGAAAAAAGGTCCCCGTCGAAGGGAATGAGGTCCAGGCTGTACTCCTCCCTACGGATGAAGGAGCCCAGGACGCCCAGGTCCTTCAGCCGCTGCTCACACAGCAGGCTACGCCGGGGCACAAACAAAATGTGGAAATCTCTTGTGGGGCCACGTCTGTCTTCACTGCAAGAGAAGGACCGTGCCTTGGCCCGAGGCCCCGACGCGAGGACTGCTCCCCAGGGCCCCACCTGTGCCTGACACACAGTGGGCTCTAAAGAGACCCTTATGAGCTAACCCCCACTACTGACTCGGCCCAAGTTTTTAGTTTTCCTGCTCTCTTGATGTGATGCTTTTTCTGGAAACCGCTCACCTATGCTCTGCCAAGGGGCAGTGCTGCTTTCTCTTGGGCCATTGATGGGACATGAAAACTCTCAGGGTTGGGCCTGGAGCAACAGTGCAGCGGGTAGGGTGTTTGCCTTGCATGCGGCCGACTCGGATTCGATTCCCAGTTCCCAACATCCTATATGGTCCCCTGAGCACCACCGGGGGTAATTCCTGACTACAGAGCCAGGAGTAACCCCTGTGCATTGCCGGGTGTCACCCAAAAAGAGAAAAAAAAAAAGAAAAACCTCTCAGGGTTATTGCAACGGACATCTGTTTCTTGCAGAAAAAAAAAATGTTTCTATTTAATCAAGCGATGTCTCTAGGAAAATAAAAGGTTGCTCTAAACCGTGCCCGATCTTGCGCAAATACCCCACATGCTTTTAAGTCCTTAGGGGCCATGTCGATCAAACGTAATGCAGACTGGGCTGGTGCACTTCCTCCATAGATGCTGCAGCATTAAATATTAATCATCTTCTCCTGACGTTGCTTATGAAATTTGAGCATATGGTATTCAGTACTTGAAAAAGAACCACTAGCTGTTTTTCTTTTTATAAAAAAATCTGGGTCCTTCTACTGAGACAGGCCGGAGCTTCCTACTGTCCTGAGAGAGTGGGTTTCTGTGGTTTGCCCTGCCTCCCCAAGCCCCAATCCACAAAGTTTCCTATTCTCTATTTATAGTTTTTGGGGCACACCTGCAGGTGCTCAGGGATAACTCCTGGCTATGCACTCAGAAGTCACTCCCAGAAGACTTGGGGACCACACTGGGTTCCGAGGATCTATCCATGTCTGACTGCAGAGTATCCTACCCCTGACCCCCCATTCTCCTCCGACACACTCTCACATCTGTCCAAAGATCCACTTCCTAAAGCGCTGGCAAGCAAAGGTGTCCTGATGAGCACTAAAAGCACTAGAGGAATGATTCCGTATAGACCATGCATCGGCTCTGAGATACCTAAGCACATTTTCAGCAATTATATCCATCAGTTCTAGCCGGGCTCTGACGAAAAAAATGATATTTTTGACATTCGCTGCTCACTAGCGGCTTCCTTTGAGTGTGAACATTTTCTCCACCTCATGTTCTTAAGAAAGCACACATACAAATGGTGAACAAAACCCCTAAAGCTTAGCAGCCGACCCAAACGCGGACATCACTGCAGGCAGCCAACACGGGTTGGATTGCCGGCCTCCCACACCGTCCCCAAACACCACCAAGAGTCATTCCTGAGTGCAGAGCTAGGGGTAAGTCTGAGCACTGCCAGGGGTGGCCCAAACAAAACAGATCAACAACAAAAACTCAGGTGTTCTAACACTCCCACTCCAAAGCACAGTAGACTTTAGTGTTGAGTCAGAGAATGCAGGGGTTATGGTACATGCCTGACACATGACTGCCAACTTCGCCCCCTGGCACCACAAGGGTCTCAAGCATTGCCATGTGCATCCCAAGAGAGGCCACTGGAGTGGCCTGGGATATCCCTGCCACCACAGCGCCAAGCCTCATCGAACTGCTAAGACTCACCACCAGGAGGTGCCCTGGGGCAGTGCTCAGGAGACCCGGGGCCAGGGAGATAGTACAGTGGGTAAGGTGCTTGCTTTGCATTCAGCTGACCCGGGGTTCTATCCCCAGCACCCCATACTGTCCACTGAGCACTGCCAGGAGTGATCCTAAGTGCAAAGCCAGGAGTAAGTCCTGAGCACTGCCTGGCACAAGCCCCCAAATAAAATTCAAAACCGCTTTAGGATAAAAATTTAGATTCCCCAAAGGCAGGTGTATAAATTCAGGCTGAAGTAACCAATCCTGTGTCTGAAAAACTTGGAGCCACATGAAGTAACAATCAGAAGACATGCCGCTCCGTCGAGGAGAAGAGGGGGGTGCAGACCCACCCTTGAAAGGTCCACTGAAGGCTCCTATGCTGCCCGAGTCCCTGAGCTGCTTGTGCCCATGTAGCCGAGCAAATGCGGTGCCCGCAGCTCTCCTTGAGATGGGGACTTTTGTGCTTTCCGTTCTAATGTTGGGATGTGTGTAGGGGCTCTCTCTGTCTTTGGAGAAGCCCACGGTCTCTCCTGAAATGTTACTCTCTCTCCGCTCGTCCTCTTCCTAAAGGTCACCAAATAAAATGTTTTTTTTTTACTTCAAATAAATAAACAAAAGGTCCACAGAAGATAAAACATTTACCACTCATAACAGCGTCAGTGATTCTAAAAACCAGACAGCTCTGCACACCACTTACTCCAGAAGTGGAACATCATATTACTCTTGCTAGAGTCCAGAATGACAGTTTCAAAAAAAGTAATAATAATCAAAACCTGGTGCTAAGATGTCAGGGCGACCCCTGCCCGGGCAGCCCCTGGACACCGCGGGTGGGGCGTAGAACATTGGTTTTGTTTTTTTGGTTGAAATAAAATAAAGAGAAGGGTCCAGAGCGACCGCACAGCGGTTAGGAAGTTTGCCTTGCACACGGCCTACCCAGGTTCGATCCCCAGCATGCCATAGGGTCCCCCAAGCAACGCCAGGCTTAATTCCTGAGTGCAGAGCCAGGAGTAAGCCCTGAGCATCTCTCGATGTGACCCAAAAAGCAAAATAAATAAATAAAAGAAACAAAATGACTAAAGATAAAATTGGTCTTCGTCCGGCTTAACAGTCTCACCTTCAGGGGCTGGAGATAGTACAGGGATTAAGGCATTTGCCTGCGGGCGGGATATGCTTCATATGCTTCAGCCCCTGCAGCCCCCCAAAGAACGCTGATGATTAAGACTCCGTTTGGACCAGGGAGAGGCGCCAAGCTTCGGAAGCTTCTGGAGCGTGGGAGCTGACTCCCACCACAGCTGCCCGGTGAGGCTTTGCTAGCATCGCTCACCAGCCCACTGCACTGCTGCTCGCTCAAAATTTCAAGATTGACTTAAATTTGTTTTTTCTTTTTAAAAATGTTATTTTCTTTTGAAATTTTTTTAATCCTAATGAAATACACAGAGTTGATCATGATTGGATTTCAGTCATATCATGTTCCAACACCTGTCCCTTCACCAGTGTACATTGCTCACCACCAATGTTCCCAGTCTCCCTACTCCCCCAGGCAGGGAAGGCACCTCTCTCTACTCCCTCCTTTCTGCAGTGCTCTCTCTCCACTCCCTCTCTCCCTCTTTTCTCTCTCCGCCTCTCTCTGACACATGCCTTTTGGTTTACAATACAGGGGGACCTTATGGGGTGCCGGGATTCGACCCCGAGTCTTCTGCACGCCAAGCAAGTGCCCTGTCTGCTGTAGTGTCTCTGGCTCCCAGACGCTTCTTTTAAAGAATCAAGAACTTGGGGGCAGAGAGGCAGCACAGGGGTCTGCGCCACATGGTCCCCAAGCACTGCTGCAGCTGGGATGGCCCCCGCGACTCACCCGCCCAGACTACAGCAGGGGCTGCAGGCAGGCCCCAGCCCAGAGGGCCCAGGTCACCAAGGTCTCTGTGACCCCCATGCAGAAGCAGAAGCGCCCCCAGCTCTGACCCCAGGGCCCCATGCCCCCTCATCTCCCACCGTCCCGCTAGGGGTGCCGGGGGTGCCCCACCGAGCCAGGGCACAGGCCGCCGAGACTCAGCGCTCCCCGGGGGCTGTATAGACCCCCCAGACCCCCAGCAGAGCCGGGGCACAGCGCTTCCTCTGCTCCCTTGGAGGGACCCTCCCGGGAAGCTGGGGGCGGGGGGGACGAGGGCGCCCTGGCGTCATCTCCCCTGCACTGCCAGCTGGCCTTGCGAGGGCATGTTCCCCGCCCCCCACCCCGGCTCCTGGGAACGGTCTCAGGGGGTCCTCGGGTTCCCCTGGCCATCGCCGGGTCCTGCCCAGTGAGTGATTGACCTGCAGCCCCAGCAGGCCCGTGAGCGGCTCGCGCCGCCCTCTGCTGGCCGCCGTGCGAACTGCACAGGTGCCGGGCCCTGCCTGGCGCTGGGGTCCCGCCCACCCGCACCCAGCAGCGCCTCGCTCAGGCCCGCGTCCCGGGGGTTCCCTGCCCGCCCCTCGGGGGCCGGCCCGTGGCTGCGGAGCCGCAGGAGGGGGCACTGCCGGCGCAGCAGTCCCTGGGGGGCCTCCGGCCGGATGCCCGAGCTCCGTGGCGCCAGGTTGGTTGGCGGGGGCCGGAGCAGGGTCGCCGGCTCCTGGCGGGCGACCCCCGTCGCCCGTCTCCCCGCGCGGGGCGGACCCCAGCCCCCGGCGCCCAGCGAGGCGCACCCCGAGGCCACGTGACCGACTTTCCTCGGGGCGGGGGCAGCGGCGGGCGGGCCGCGGGGAACGCAGGGCGCGCGAGTCCTGGGGCGCGGGCGCGGACCCCCTCGGGGGTCTGAGTCCTGAGGCGTCTGTCCGCGGGCCCGGGCGGCGGCCAAGGCTTCCGGCCCCTCGGGCGGGGTGGGGCGGGCGGGCAGGGGCCCCTGGAGTGTGGCGCAGGGTCCGGGTCTGGCGGCAGCGTCGGGCTCAGTCTTCGGACTCCACATCTCCCTCCTTGGGGGCGCCCGGCTCTGCGCGGTCTAGGAGATGGGGGTCAGCGGCGACCCAGGCGGCCCGCACTTGCCGGCAGGGGGCTGTCCCCGCTGCAGCGCCCCCGCCCCAGACTCACCACGCACCCACTCGCCTGCTAGGGGGCGCCCTCCACTCCAGGTGGGAAAACCCCCAGCCAACTGAGCCTCCTAGGGCCCGCTGGCCAAGGACTGCTGGTCACAGGCCCTGAGGGTCCTCATGGCCCCTGGGGCCTCGACTTCCCTTCCTGTACCAGAAATCAACCCAGAGAGAGGCCAGTGCACAACTGCCCTAAAACCCAGGCTCAACGGCTCCCAGGACTATTGCGGGGGGAGGGGCCCAGGCTTTGATGCTTACACAAGTTTAGTGAAATTTTACTGACTGTGAGGGAGAAAAAGTTTGCCTGTGTGTACATGCCAGAACCAGCGTATCATTGTGTCCATTTGAATTTAAAGAAACAAGTTCATACCTTTGCGAGATGGAGAACAGAAAGAAAAAAAAAAGAACTTGTTGCAGCCCCACCCCACCCCCCAAAAAAGAATTCTTTTAAACACCTAATCCCAGGAAGAAGTGCTATTTCTTGAATAAATTATTACCAAGCAATGACAACAATTAAAACACACAGAAAAGGACGTGTGGTGGGTAGCACAAGGTGGGGACGGACGTTCAGTCAAGACTGGGCAATGCCACAGCCTGGAAAGGACATGAGAGGGGACAGAAGTGTGGCTCGTGGGATGCATATTTGGAGAGAGACAGAGGTGCGTGTGAAGTGGGGGATCTCATTAAAGTCTGGGGTCCAGGACAGCTGTGGATGTTCGTGTCCTACTCAGTGGTTCAAATCTGTGTGCCTTGGGGATGGAGGGAATGTGCACTCCTGGGAGAAGCTGGGAGGGCCACTGGGTATTCCCTCCAACCCACCTTGCGGCACTGGGTCATGCATGTTTAGATCACATGCTCTGGGCCATAGCACCAGTGATGCGGGCAGGTGACACATTGAATGAGGCATAACTTACAGCAACAAGCCGAGTCTCTCTGGTCCCCGGGTGAGTGGGTGAACGAAGAGCATGTTCCGAGTGTCAGATGCCTCCCAAAACTGACAGGAGGAATCGGAGACTGAGGCCCACGTTAGAAATGGCAGAATGTATGTCTGGTTAGTGAGACCCAAGATATCCGCACACACATTACAGAATTCTCATGGGTTTACGGCAAACGGGAATTCTCACAGAGATGAAAAGAGAAGTGTGTATTTCTCTCAGCGCCTGGCTCACACTTACACTCCAGATCATTAAATAGAAAGCAAAGAATCTGAGACTAACAGAGATCTCCTGAATTCAACACCCAAGGGCTGGAAATACACCGGAAAGGGTGGACTTCTGTGCAGTTAAGCTATTACATGAGCAACACCTCGCTAGGGAATAGGATCTTGTTTAGGTGGAAATAAGAGCGTTTTAGTGGAAAGGAAATCTCTGATGCGACCCTGTGGGTCAGGAATCTTGACTTTCCTATGGCATGTGTTTGGGGCTGGGCTGGGGTCTACGCTTCACAGACAGGAGAGCTGGGTTGGTCCCCAGCACTGCATGGTCTCTGGAGGCAGGAATGACTGAAGAGCACTGTGTCCCCAAAGCAAAACAAAACAAACGTACTTGGTAACTGATCCCACCATAAGATTATTTTAAGAGTTCCTTGCTCTAAATCTAACACATACTTAGAAAGTCTGATTTTAAATGTTTATTCAAAGTGAAGGGGTTTAAGGAGGATGAGCAGAGTCTCCTGCCCCCGCGCCTGGCTGTCCTCGCCGGGACCCTTTGGAGGGGAGCAGGTTGAGTTTCCCTCCCCACCCCGACCAGGGCTCCGGCAGCCGAAGACCTCCACAACCAGCCACCACCATGCTGAGACCACTCTCCACAGGCATGAAGGTACTGGCAGAGGAACAAAGGCATGCGTGTCCTGGGGCTGAGATCTCCAAGCCTGCTCGGATTGGGGCTGAGCATCCTCCACTCAGATCCTCCATATTCCAGTAGGCAGGGGTTACACCCACCAACTGCCCCCCTTGTGCCCTGTAATCCCATCAACGGCCAAGACCCAGAGACTATAAAACCCAGCTCCCGGAAGCATCTTATTATCTCATTCTTTCTTTGGACAAACTGGCAGGCTACCGAATGTAACCTGCCCACACGGCAGAGTCTGGCAAACTCCCCGTGGCTTACCCAATATGCCAAATACCAGTAACAATGATGAGGCTCGTTCTACTAACGCGGAAAGAGCCTTGAATATGGCACTTTTTAAAAAATTCTCAGGGCTAGGACAAAGGAGACATTACTGGGGCCTGTTCGAGGCAATCGACGAACAACAGGATGGTTGTGATCGTGATCGTGAGCAGATTCCAATTTTTGGGGGGGAGGAGGGGGTCATACCGAGAGATCTCAGAGGATCCTCCTGGTTGTGCACTCAGGAATTACTCCTGGCATTGCTTGGGGGACCATATGGGATGCCAAGGATCGAACCCAATTTGGCCGTGTGCAAGGCAAACGCTCTCCACGCTGGAATGTCGCTCCAGTCCCACATTCCCATTCTTTGGTCAGGACTATCCAACTAGCCTGAGCCATCAGCTCTGAGGCAGGAGGGGAGGGCAGATTCCTTGGCGTGTTCCTGACACAAGCCTGGAACATTGCATAATCACCTGGCAGCCTTTCCTCGAGTGGGCACGTGTGGCGACCCCTACATGGACACGGCCAAACAGACCCCGGCAGCTGCTCCTGCTGACCAGTCCTCACGGCGAATTCCTTTGGTCTCTTCTCAGCTCTGACTTCTACCGTGCAATCCACAAGTGGCTGGAGGACATCGGGCCTCTTTACCGATGCCCGAGTCACAAATACATGGGCCCCTTTAAAGCCACACGCTTTAGATTTGGTGTCATGAGCAACAGCAGAGGGAGGAGAGCCGGAAGGGAGGTGTCCAGGGCCAGAAACCTTTCCCAAGGGATCACACTATCCAGATTCTTTCCTTACGACTTTCATAAGAAATAAATCTCAGTCATGATGCAAATGCCTTAAAGTGTTACTGGGCAGCCTTTCAAAATGCAAAAAACAAGAACCACATATTAGAAACTAAAAAAAATATGAAATTTATTATAACGTGGATAGAGTTTCTTTAGTCTTTCCATCAAAGACACACAGATAGAGCAAAGGAAGCAGGAGTGGGAGGAAAAAGAGAGGGTGAGGTGAGCACGACAGCGCGTGAGCGCAGAGACAGCCAGACATCAGCACACACAGTGAGCTCAGGACCGCGGACGCTGCCTCCCGGACCCGCAGAGTTCCTGACCAAAGCCCGAGCCTGACATTCTGGTTCTGGTATCTGTCCTTGGCCGTCAGGGAAGTGGGGTACGCCGAACAGGACCACCCCGCTCCCGTCTGCTCTGGGCTTTAGCAGTGGTCGGAGCAGGGCAGGACTGGCCCTGCCTTCCTCAGCTGGACCTGTTTTATTTTATTTATTTATTTATTTATTTTTTAAATTTTATTTATTTATTTTTATTGAATCACCATGAGAAACTTACAATCTTTCATGTTTGGGCTACAATCACACAATGATCAAACACCCATCTTTCCACCAGTGCACATTCCCCACCACCAATCTCCCAGGTATACCGCCCCCCTTCTACACCCACCCCTTGCCTCCATGGCAGACAATATTCCCCATACTCTCTCTCTACTTTTGGACATTATGGTTTGCAATACAGACACTGAGAGGTCATCATGTTTGGTCCATTATCTACTTTCATCACAAATCTCCCATCCCGACAGATCTGGACCTGTTTTCAACCTGTCTGAAAACCTAACTTGGAGACAAGCTCCCGAAAGAAACGCTGACTTTCACCTTTGGCACACATCGCGTGCAGCTAAGCTGGAGATAACTACAGTCTGGGGAAAACCCGCAGCATACCCAGGGGCTGGGTGAGTGTAGGCGACGTCCTCTCTCAGAGGCAGCAGTTCTGCGCCTCCATGTGGGAGCCCAGGATGGAGAGAGCCTTCGCCATCAGGACTGCATGCCAACAAGGCCCTTGGGGGCAGGCAGCGGTTTCTGCATGAACCCAGGGAAACTGGACCTAAACCCTTCTAGGCTTTCAACCTGAGAGCAGAGCAAATTCCTTTTAGCACTTTATGTACCATCACACTCAGACCTACATCTGAATCCTTTACAATCTCTACCTGCCGATGAAGATCCTGAGATTAGCTACAATTGAGTTGTCTTCAGATTTCTGAATCAGACACAGCTTGCCATGATTAACGAGAAGAAACAGTTCAATATTTGTTTTAAAATTTTTTAATAGTTTTAAATTTTTTTACTCCCACAAAAAAAAAATAAAGTCATCATTTGTTCCTTAGATTCACTGAAAGTTTTTTTCCTTCGGGGTGGATGGGTGCACACCTGGCCATGCTCAGGGTTTACCATGGCTCTGGGCTCAGGGTACCACATGGGGTGCCAAGGATTGAACCCAACTCAGCTGTGTACAAGACAAGATAGTACCAGTTCTACGACTTCCCCAGCCCCTGAAAGAATGACTTTCCATGGATGGCTGCATAAACATTCCTGGGACATAGGGGGAGAAGGGGAACAGAGGTGATGAGACAGCAGAGGGAAATGGACA